CTTTGCCTCAAACCTCATTAGGGTTTCCCTCAAGTTATATATAGTATCATTTGAAAACACTAAAAAAAGCTCTGAGTTCTTTTCTATATGAAACTTCCCTGCTGCAAATGTTTGGACAATGAATCTGTGCCCTCACTCTGAGTTCAGGGCCCTGCTTTGTATAACCAGGTCCAAAAACTGCATTAAATCAATACACAAAGGAAGGATGAAAGAATCATCTGCTCACCCTGGTTGGATAGGGCTTTTCTTTGTGCCTTATTTTTCTTTAAGGTGTGGGTGAAGAATCATGAAAAATTACTTTTCAGAGCTTTGCAGTCTATTCACTAATGAATCAATTTTAGCAGGCACCAGCCATGGTCCTTCCAGCATTGCTGCAGCCATGGCCACAAAACCACAGCAAACAGCATTTTATTGTCAGTGCCTGAGCAGTTCTCACTGCAAAGCCCCGGAGTTCACCCCAGGCTCCCCTGGGAGCCTGCTTTGAGCTGAGCCATCTCCATGCAGGAGCAAAGAGAGTGTGTTAAAGTGTTGTCAGTCTGCTGTGTGCCCCCCAAAATATGCCATTAACAGCTCAGATCAGCCCCAATAAACATCTCATCAAATCTACCAGCTCTGTGTGCTACAAACACCAGGACAGGGAAAACTCTTCCTCCAAATACAGGCCCTTGGTGGTGGGTGGACCTGTGACCCTGTCCTGAGCAAGGCAACAAGCTCAGAAAAGCTCAGACAATGTGCAATGCTGTGAAACCCATGGGACACGAAGGCATTCATCCTGCCCCTCTAGTTGTTGAATTTAGGTGAGACATGCCAAACATATCTGGGGAAAAAATTAGGCCTACAAGTGCTTGAAAGTAATTTTCCATACATGGTATTTAAGAATCTTAAATTTCAGATCATTAATAATGATCTTTGAAGGGAACCCTATAAACTGTCTTCTAGTTCCTGATGAGATGGAATAATTTATTACATCAATTTCTCTGATTAATGTAAAACGTGTTTCAAATTTGGGTATTCCTTTAATATTTAAATTTCCCCTTGAGAGGAGCTGCAGAAGGTGACTGAGTGCCCCCCTAGACTGACGTGGCATGTTCTCAAAGCAGGGTAAGCTCTGCTACCAGTGTCTATCAGCAATAAAAGCCATCGTATGGCAGCAAACTCAGCTTGTTTCAGGACTCTGCTCTCCAAAAGGCATGAATCAGGAAAGGGCAGGGCCCCACAGCTCTGTTCACTCATGCCAAGGAACAGTTTCTTAAAAATTTTCTCTCTGAATAAGGAATTTTTTGTTGTCAAGAATGTCTCCCCCACAAGAGAGCTGAAAAAAGGCCACAGCTGGTGTCATTCAGGGTAAATTGCATGGTAGACCTTTTTCCTAAGAAATCAATTTATTTTAAATAGGCTTTCTACTGTACTTTTATGTCATTTTTGCAGAGCCAAAGTCAGACAAAACTATGGTGGTTTTTGTCTTGGTCATACACTGTGTAGGAGATGTAGAGTAGTGCCTGTGTAGGAAATTTAGAGTAGTGATATCCTGAGCTGCTAAAATGCATCACACTTTCCATGTCTTTGATGTTGAAGTTACAGAAAACTGAAACATCTGTCTGTGTTGGTCTTAGCTTGACTGCTCAAGTTGCCCCTCTCTGGTTTGGGAAGACAGGGGAAAAGCACAGTGTTATTACAGAAGGGTCTATATCCCAGAGAAAGCTAAGCGATGGTATAGTGCACCAGTGGTGGGGCTGAGAGCCCTCAAATATTTGCAGTGATAAAAATCAGAGCCCAAACAAGAGTCTGTTTTAGAGAGAAGTATTTATTAGAAGATAGGAGGTTGTTACGTACAGATTCTGTCCTGCAAAAGTGTCCTGGTCAAGGATATGTCAGGGAGACATTTAAACCCATTAGAGCTGGCTCTGGTCTCCACACAGAGATACTCAAGACACAGCAGAGTTCTGCCAGACCTCGCTCTCCTGCTGATGCTCAGCTGGGGAGAGGCCTGGCATACCACAGCATCCCTGAGCTCATTACACCGTCTTTATCCCACTGGAAAACCCGGCGCTTGGGCTGGAAACCAGTGGTGGGGACAGCAGACGGTGCTGCAGAAGGGGCACTGTTCTTCCCTGGGCTAACTTGGAGATATTGACCCCAAGTAGGGAATTGTCTTCCATCGTGCCAGCGATGAACATGGCTGAGCAAGTGGCTACGGAGATACAACCATGCTATGAGGTAGCATGAGGTAAATTAAAAGAAAAAGAAAAAAGAAATATCTCTGTGATACAGAGAAGAATTCTTCCCACCCTCCCTCGCCCCAAAACCAGGCCAAGCAGCAGTGCCTGAGCCCTCTGCAGAGACCTCCAAGAAAGCAGCTCTGACAGGTGGATCACAAAAAGGCAGCAATTTTGCCTCATAATAGTCGTGCTCCTAGCAATATTCCTCCTAATTTCATGGGTGACCTCTTTGCTTTTGGGTTGGCAGGTAGCATTTGTCAGCCTCTCATGGGGTCTCTGCACAGCCCCTGCGGTGGCTCAGGGCTTTGCCAAGTGAAGCCCAGGTGCATTGGAAGGCTGCTGTCCTGAATTTGCACCTTCTGAGCCAACTCCAGGCCCGGGTGTGCTGCACGGATTGTGAGCAGCATTGCTGGAGCAGCAGGGGCAAGAGAAATGGCAGGTGAAAGGCATCAGCCACCACACTGGCAATAACAGAAGGGCCTGAGACCAAGTCTTCTCCAGATGGTCAGAGGCTCACAGCCAGCTAGGGCTTGGATTCCTACCAGCCATAAGGCTTTTCCTTATTCCAGGTGTGCATCTTACTGCACTCCGCCACTCTACCTATTGCAGAGCAAAGCAGGTTGACAAGTTTTCTTTTGATAGTTTCCTTTTGATACGTTGTTGGTTGGTTGGTTTTTGGTTTTTTTTTTTGATAGACAACCATCTAAATAGACATTTTTCTAGCAGATTTCTTAAAGGAAGGTATTATCCAGGAGACACTTGTCTAACTTTCAAATCTATGGGTGCTGAAGGATAAATAAATATTCTGGAGTCTGACTCCTTAGTCTGGTCCTCTGCTGAAGCTACATTCTTCTCTTTTCTGTCTGGGCCAGAATATCACCTTCACTTCACTGTCTGCAAAGTCACATTTATCTTTAATTCTCCTTATTCAATCCTACTTATGGCTCCAGAGACTACATGTAAAACCCTGGGTATAATCCCCCACTTTGCTCACAGAGTACATGAGCTTTAGTCTACTATCAGGACTCTATCAAGATTATTGCCCTTTCAGTCCTCAATAATCTAAAAAAAAACTATTGTTGGAACAGGCTTGTCAGATATTTAACATAATTGTCAGAAACATCTGTTTATGGTTCATCTATCACCACATCTCTCTTCTCATCTCCATCCAAGAGTGGCCTTTGTTAGCTTGGTATATTAGAAAGCTTTGTAACTAGAGATTTGGCAGTGAATGCTCACAGCTGACACCAACATCAATACAAGAGATGGGTCAGACTACAGACCTCAGAAGGGATAATTTGTGAGAGGAGCATTTTCCTTCCACTGCAGATGACTTTCAAGGCCGGAGGTACTGCGGACGAGGAATAACAGGAAGACTGCAGCTATAAAGCAAACCAGCAGAGCTCCAGTTAACTTTAGCATAGTAAACACTCAGCACTGAACCAGCTTTGCTACAAATCTGCCTATTTTTAAATCAGGTTTTATGTTCCTAAGGCACTCAGACTCCTTTTTTGGAACACGTACTCCAATAAGTTTGAAGTTTGGGGATAGGAGGGTTTAGAGAAATGTTCCCCAAGTGCATCCTACACTTAGTTGAAGGGAACAGATGCTCCAGATCCACTCAGTTATCAAAACCTGTGGACCAATCATGACCACATCTTCAATTTTTAGGAATTTTATGGCACTGGTTGTGCTCCCATTTTCTCCACTCTATGGAAAGGGACCTCCAGGCCCTCTGAAGGACAACAGATGGGATTTAAGGACAACAATACCCTGCTCAGCAAGATCTTTACCTACTATTTGCCACAAAATGACAGATCTGGGGCTTTGATATGAAACATAATCTCCATCCCTCCTCTCTCAGCCCTAACCTTAGAAAACGCCAAGCATTGGCCCATCTGGTTTAACTCCAGCTTGGTCAAGTGCGAGGAACATAGAGCAGACGACAGAATCTCTGATTTTAGTTTCAGGTACATTTATAGGTAGATTTTTTTGCCTCTATTTTCATTAATTCCTTCCAGAACTGGTTCTTCAGCCACCCATGATGAAAACTTGTTTATGTTAGGACTTGAAACACCGTGATGAATTCAGCTCACCTGTCAGAGCTGCCTGGATGTTGTAGATGAGAAAAGTTTTCATGGATGTTTTCAGAGAGAAAAGGCAGGAGAGAGGGATGTTTTCTTTCCAGAGCACGTGCACGAAGGTGGGAGGCATGGGAGCCTTTCTCCTCAAGACCAGGTAAAGCTGGCTGCTAAATGTACCTGCAGTGGTGCACAGCAAACGCTGAGCATCGTCGAGGTGCCACCCGGGCACAAGCAGTGCTGGACTTACCAGATCTCTTTGGGACCCTGCACTGAGGGCTCTGAGGAGGTGTGCTATGAGGTAGCACTACGTGGCTGCACTATGGGAAGTCTAACAGGGAGAGCAGACACGGAGACGCTGGAAAGGCTCAAAGCATAGAAGTGCAATCACTGGGTCTCCAGCAGCACACGGCAGAGAGGGCGTTACCAAAACTTTGTGGCACTTAATTGTCACTGTGTTTTGAGTATCTCAGTGGGCACATAAGACCAGTTCTAACAATATCCAAAAGAAAGAACATGTTCTAATCTGTATAGTGTATGGCATTACAGGGGAATGACCCATCACACAGAAAGATTTTGAACATTAATTACAGCATCTTTTGTAAGTTTAGAATTTAATTGCCAACCCTTTTCCCTTGAAATTAATCCTGGATGTACATCATATAGTCAAACAAGCTTTGTTGTTTTTTTTTTTAAAAAGTACATCTTAATATAAATAGTTTATTCAGTGCATGGTTGTGTATACAACAAATAATAAACAACTCCTTTGTACGAGGCAGAAAGCTGCCTGTATGGAACTAATTCAGTTTTGGAGCACAGAATCCAACGATGATTAATGCACAAAATCTTACACATCATGCAACTCTATGCCAATATTCCAACTTTCTCCCATGCAACAGACATGATGACCTAAATGGAATCCTAACTACATTTTTTTAAACAATTGTTTCCAATAGCATGTATAAGTATATGTTGTTTAGGGGTAACCTGTCCTAACGCTTCCTCCTACACAATATTCACGTGCCCGTTACAGTGAAAGGACTTTTACAAATAAGACGTTTCTTATAAAAAAATTAAGTCACCTTAATTCCACAGTTTCTGTCTTTAGAAAAGAAGCCACAACAATAGTTTAACATGACACACAAAATGGAATTAAGAGAAATCTACACTGGAGGATAATTTTATCCCTTTCTGTTAACTTCCACTTGGGATAACAAAACAACTCAATTCCTACAGACTGGGGTTAGCACAAGAACTTTACCAGAAACTACAAATCTATAAAAATTTATATTTCATTGTGTTTAAAACCACAAGAACACTGTTTGCTTGAGCCTGAGACACCAACTCTCAGTTCCAACCCTGAATTTTTAATTATTTTTTAAAGACATAGCTTTAAAGACCCATTGGAGTTCAGAAATCAAAAAGTTGCACTATTCCAAATTAAAGTATACATTTTTTATCAAGCCTTAGATATAAAACGGTAAGCCAAGGAAACAACAGAGTTTACATATTTGTTTTTTGTTTGCCCCTATAAAACATACAAGCATTAAAATTTCCTTTGAAAAGCAAAAGTGGTCTTTTTCTGAGTTGGAAAGCAAATTCTTATCAGCAGTGAATGCTGTGAAATGTTTTTGTTTTGTATTCCACAAAGCATAGGAGAGAGAGAGAAAGAGAGAAAGAAAAAGTGAGAGAGAGAAAGAGCTGGACATTTCTTCTCCGAGATTTATTCCGCAGTTATGTTTGCTGGCTATCCAACTGCCTTGTGATATGCACAAGCATATTCTACATTATTGGGGTATATCCTTTGACAACCAGTAGATCTAATGGCTGATAAACGAGTGACCTATGCAAGTTCGGTGGCTTGTCCTGGGCAATTGAACGTTTGGATGAAAGACTGCTAGTAAGAATTCAACTGCATCCAGAGGTAAGGTTCTGTTTAGAGAGCACTTGGCTTGCCTGAACCTGGCTACGTTGACTCATTTTGGCTCATGGATTTACCCCCATTTAGCACTCCTGAAACACTTCTGCTCTTTGTTGGGGTCCCACTTCCAGATCTTGAGAACTCTGTGAGATCGTGGAGAGAAGGCTCTTTGTACATGGCCACTGCAAAGCAAAAGAGAGGCAGCACATCAGCACACATTGGGGGCTACTCAGTCTGTGCATGCAAAGTCCAGTTGTGAAACACTGGGGTTTTTCATTCGGCAATATTGCAGTGTAAGGAGAGAATGAAAGAATCATGGCAAGGAGATCTCTTCCACTTCAAATACTCCCTAAGAACCTCTGAAGTCCTCTTCAAGGGATTTTAGAGAGGGGAAAAACCAGAGCTCCCTCTCTCCCTCTCCCAGTTAAATCACCCACCTACCCACCACCCCTACAAAATTCTGCAAGACAGACCTAGGCTGATACAAACCAACATTTCCTTATTACATAGTGAAGTTGCATTGTTGACAGCAGTGATTTGACCTGTTACCTGTATACATAGCCTTTGCCAATGAGTGCAAAAATGGATTTTGAATCTTCTGTTTCCTTTGTTTTCACACCCATTAGAAAGTGAAGACCAACCTTGACATCAGTTGCCTAAATGTAGACTGCAAAACCAGTCCAGCATCCACCCAGGGCAATGCAGCTTTGAAATATCCTCTCTGATTTCAAAAGGACACTGCTTTCACAGGCTACCTAAGATCATATCCCAGAAATAAGCAGCTTTGTAAAAAGCATATGGAACCTAGTTCTTCTAGAGAAAAGGAACACCTCCATACATCTATTGACATCTCTCTCTTGGTGCTGACCAAAGAGGGAGCCAAGACTAACCAGAGTCCTGATTCAGATCCCTTTGTTAACTGAGATGACTGTATGTCCTGGCTTTTAATACACAACTGTTGGTATATGTAAGCCACATGCATTATTACCTTTAATGTCATATGCTGATGCCTCATTAATTGCAGTTTAATAAGCACCACACATTTGAGCTTTATCCCAGGCAAAACCAGACAAACAAATATCCTGTAATATGAAGCACAGATTGACAAGCTACACAGCAAGTTGCTAATGGCCTGTGAGCAGATGTTTGGGCCACTCCAGGCAGAGCCTTCATTACTTCTAACAGGGACAGAGTGGACTTTGAGCACAAAGAAACTAATAAGTAGATTTAGTTAAATTAGAGAAATGCAAAGGCAATGTAGAAAAACTAGAAAAAAACCAGCTCTGGTTAGATTAACAGCATGTTCCAGAACATTATACTGCTGTTGTGTAAGTAGCTGGACCCTTCAAACATGTATGCACAGCAATTAAACACTTCTGACACAAGACCATGTCAGTTCAGATGAAGCAAACCCAAGCAATTACCTTTTAATGGTTTTGGAAGAAAGTGTGCTGCAGGTTTATTTTTCTTCACGTGGTTTCCTTTCATTATTTCTCCTTCTTTGTTAAGACCCAAATACCAACCCCGGCCAGACTGTTGCTGTCTGTAGATCATTGAAGAATATGTCACATAGTAGTTTTCAAATACTGATTCTTTGAACTTGCATTCGGGTGTAAAATGTTCCTGTAAGAAAGTAACGGATCAATATGTGCAGTGTTGAATCTCACATCAGTTAATGAAAAGGCATCCAATATCCATTGCTTTCCCAACGGTTAAAAGACATACTTCTCATCCTCCACTATCCAATTATGAAACACAGGTCCTAAAAGTATTAACAAAAGAGTAACACAATTTGAAACCTGTGAAATGATGCTGTGAGCAGCTCTAAGTAGAATATAATAAGATCTTTTTGAATGATGAGTAAAAAGTCTAAGTCAAGGTTTATTGTTGAATGCAACTAATGGATACTAGGCAGCCACAGCCCTGATGTCAACCCCATGGGACCAGCTGTGGTCCAGCTCCACAGGTGAGAAGCAAGGCCATGTAATGCCTTTGTGCATTAACTGCTGGCCTTAACTGTTTATGAGGAAAGTGCAATAAAAACTGAAAGCCAAGATGCCATGAATAAATGGTCATCTCTATTAAGTTAGCTGCCTCTTTGGTCTAATCTATGCTCTTTCTCTGCCCAGTCTATCATCCATGAAAGCTCAGCTGTCAGAGACCTGCTGCAGGCATCAGCCTCTGCTCTGGGACTGTACCACAGCTGGAAGCCTGTAGGATCGAGCTTTAGTCTTCATGTTGAATTGCACTGCTTCTTCTGGGGAGATGGTATTGAGCTAATAGTAAAACTAAAGTTCAGGGTGGAGCCTTTTTCTTCCTGCCACTGGTGTGGTTGGCTTTCCCTGTGCCATGCTCTTGACCAAATCAATACCTTTTGGCACTATTGCTTAGATTGAAAAAAAAAAGATAGAGAGATGAAACATGGGTCTTAGACCCAAAACACCAGTCCTGACAGCACCACTCAGCTGCTTCCTAAGGCCTCTGGATGCTTCAGGTTTTCTAACATTACACATTCAGACATCTCACCTATGGACTCTAAAAATGCATAAAATATGAGAGAGGAAGGGTTTGATCTGGTGATGCAAATGTTAACAGCACAATCTTGCCTGTCATTGCACCACAGAGCAGCCAGCTGTTTGCCAGTCTATCCTTGTGAAGGCAGCCAGCTTCAGTGGAGCTGCCCTTGTGCTTAAAGTACCCTACAGCAGCGTGAAAGAAAGGAGGAAAAATTGTGCTTGTATAATGATTGTAATTTTGATTCTAAAATATCACAGGAAATTAAATGTCTCAGGAGCTTAAAATGTTCTTATCTAGTTTCTCAAATATTCTTGTGTGAGAAGAAAAGATGGTATTAGAAAAAAAAAAAAGAAGCCCACCACTGCACATTTTCTGCACATCTTTTGCCATTTTGTCTTCCTAGATGAAAGATAAAAAGCTCCCATCCTCTGACTGGCATTTGCTTCAACAAAGAATGTGAAGTAAGCAATTTTCTTCTTTTTTCCCTTCAAGCTAATTGGCTGTTATTTAGTTAATTGACAATTGGTTTCAATTGCTGTCAAATGGGGACAGTCACTGCATTTTTGCAAGGTTTCTACATAAAAGCCTTCCCTCACTGTTCCCTGCCCAGCACCAGCCACAGTAACAAAGACTATTGCAAGAGTATCATCCAATTAGCAGCAAAATGGGAAACTACAGTGCTCCCACTGGAAGATTATGGTTTATGTACAGTAATTTGGAGCTGTTTTGGGTACAAAAGGCCTGCTTGTACACAGCAGCAGAGGGTCAGATTGCAAACAGAACCATATTTACTCTGGCTCTTTTAGTAAGCATGTTAACCTTGGTATGAGCAGCAGCCCAGAGTCCCCTGAAACAGTGGAGAGAAGAAGGACACTAAAAAACTCCTTCACCCCTGGTTTTCCCCTTGGCCCTGGTGGGAGTACTGTGCTTCTGTGAGTCTGCAGTTGAGCCCACATACAGCCAGACAGTGGCCTGATGGTGCAGCCCAGCCTGCCACCGGTCCCCACGTGCATCACGGGCAAAATCCTCTCCCTGGAGCATCCCAAGATTCAGCAAGAACTACAAAGTGGTGAATTCCCCTGACAAACTGCAGGGCACAAACCCAAAGACACCTCTCTATAAAGTGCCCAGTTATCATGACAAATTCTCTCCTAGGTTTTCAGGCACTAAAGCAGAGCAGCTCATTCCCCTGCCTGGCTTGGAAGAATCATTCCCCTTTCTCTTGACTGGTTTAATTCCTCGGCTACGGCTGTAGGTTCAGAAAGGTGCTGCACATCGGGAAAGGCATCCTCCTTGCCAAATAAACAGCTCCCACATGAGCTGTTTGCAGAAGCTGAAGTGCTCTGCCTGCTTCTGAATACTAAGCAGCTGCTTACCTTTAGCAAGAGTTTGTTCCCACCCATCACTTGCCTTTAGTTTAATCCAACGTGTGTGTTTCCTACTTGTTACAAAAAGAGCCAGGGAGAACAACTGCAGAGGGAAGCTCTAAATAAGGAATGGTGACATGGGGGCATTACAATTAAAATGTACTTTTCTGAGCTTGGCAAGTCCATGTGCCAACCCAACTGGGTACAGACAGGACTTCTATCAGCACATCAGCTCAAATACAGTGCAGAGCAGCAAGTGCAAATTGGTCATTATGTTGCCTCTGCTGGCAAATTCTTTATTAATGTAATAAGGAAGAGCAAGCTAAAGCTGGGAGAGGACTGAGTGCCCCAAGTAACACTGATCTTTTCCAGCTCATATAGTGAATCCTATGGAAAATGTATAAATACAGTAAGTGCTGAATTCAGAGACCATTTTTTTCCTGTCTCTCATCTGTCCTCTTTGTTCATCTTTGAAATGAAAATAATTCAAATGAATTCTGAAAAGTCCAATGTTATGAATAAATTGTTACACAAAACAGATGAAAATTAAGTATTTGTGCAAATCAGTATTTCAGTCTCAGTTTACCCCAGAGTCAGGGATTATGGCAC